CTTTCAGTGCTTAAAAGCTGTTATGCGGGTGAGGAGCTTATAGTCGACATCAAAACCAATATTTTCTCGAAAGTTGTTGAATGGATGGGGGAACTTGGTTTATTTGTTCTTAAAATAATTTTTTAAATTATTTTTCTAGATAAGCCTGACTGTCGAATTAAACCTTATGAATCCACTCAAATCGTCTACACTTTTACTGAATTTGAGACGGATTTCTTCAAAGTTTAAATATCAGACTAATTTTCAATTTTTTGTTTTCTTTATTTTTTTAAATTTTTTGACTAAAACGAAAAATAACGTAAAAATCAAAAAATAAAGAAAACAAAAAATTGAAAATTAGTCTGATATTTAAACTTTGAAGAAATCCGTCTCAAATTCAGTAAAAGTGTAGACGATTTGAGTGGATTCATAAGGTTTAATTCGACAGTCAGGCTTATCTAGAAAAATAATTTAAAAAATTATTTTAAGAACAAATAAACCAAGTTCCCCCATCCATTCAACAACTTTCGAGAAAATATTGGTTTTGATGTCGACTATAAGCTCCTCACCCGCATAACAGCTTTTAAGCACTGAAAGATATTAAATTAAAATCTAAAGCCGTCAGACGGAAATATCAAAAGATTATCTAAAATCTATTACCTTCGCCATCCGTGATAGAACACTCCTTTTGATAATATGAGACACACTAACATTAACCACACCTCCATCGTTTGTCTTACATTTAATCTAAGAAAAGCAATTTCATTTATTTTGGTGTCATTCGAGTTCGAATAAGCTATCATTCACATATTCGAATTTTTGACCCGGCAAAACAGTTTGGTCACCACTTTGGTTTTTCAATTTTTAGGGGTCTATATCTCTGTGAGTTCTCGTCTCCCGAAAGAAATTCTTAAATATTTGAACTCAGCTCAGCGAGAGGAATCGAGTTAAATATATGAGTTTCGATCTCGTTGGACCTATACTAAATTACAGCCGTAAATAAATTAATGTCAAAAATAAAAATGATTTCCAGAGGTTTTTAATTGAAAGAGAAATCTTATTTAAAAATTTCTTAAAATAATTCTTCAAGTTTTGAAGCAATATGACTTAACTTTTAAAGTTCTAAGATTCAATAGAGCAACTTCAAAAGTTTCACAAAATCGTGGAATGGTAAATATAAGGCATCTAAAGTATTTAAAAATAAAAATAAAATTTTATTCAATTAACTCACCTTTTCCCATCGTCATATTCAATTAATTTTTGTCCAAACTTTTGTTGATTTCCACAAAAATAGACATGAGGCAATTGTTCAAGAATTAGAGGGTCTCGAGTAGAAAATGGAAAACCAGAAAGAGTATCGGGAACTGTTGGAAATAAATTACTCATATTTAATGTTCTTTCCATTTTTTCCAATTCACTTGAAGGCGATGTTAACCGTGCCAAGTCGTTAAGATTCTGACCTGTAATTTTAAACAAATATGTAACAATTACAAGTAGTCAGTCTTATGATTTGAAATTTTTTTGAAAATTTTTACTTGAAGTTAAATTATTTTCAGTCAAAAAACCTGAAGTTCCAACAAATTGTAGACCTCCCAATGAAAAACGGTATGGATTTGTAACTGTTTGAAAATTTGAATATTTTTTCTCATCAGCTCCAGTAAATACATATCTGGGAATTGGTTGTTGTGGAATTAAACATTGAGTGGGATCATTTGCACCAGGCATTACATCAATAGATAATTTTTCCTGAAAATTTTAAGATTAATTTTTACAAATTCGAAAGTCATTTTTGTTAGATTAACTTGTAAAATATTAAACAGATAATGAGAAAATTATATATTACTCAAAAAATAGACTAGAGTATAAATGTAAATTTATTGGCTATAAACTTTTTGTTAGAAAATTAAAAATCTTCGTGCGACCAAAATAATCAATATTCTACTCTAAAGGGTCAATCACACATTTATATTCGATAATTATTTTACTAATTTGAAACATACCAATAAAGAACAAATAAAAGTATCCAATCCTGTAAAGCAATCCAGATTTGATTCGTATTCTAAACCAATTGCGGCCACCTTTTGTCTTTGTATTTCCTAAAATTTTTATTTAAAAAATTACAGAAAAAATACTAACAATTAAATTTAATTGAGCAAAATCGCCAGCAATAACCAAACGAATTAAATTATTAACAATATCATCAGACTAAAATCGAAAATAAAATTTTGAAATAAATTAAAAAAACGTTTTCATGAGATTTCAAAGTCAATTCATTGTTTACCCACTTTTGAAATGTATTCAAAGCTTGAATTGTTTTTGCAGCTTTTTCTGAGCCACCAGCCAAAGAGATGCCAGAAATAAAAGCAATATAGCTAAAATATGGGAAAATAAATAATTATAAATTAATCACATTCAGAGAATATAAAGGATATCAAACCCCCTAATTTATATTCTATTCCAAATTATTTTACCAATCCTTCTCAATAATTGGCCAAGGTATTTGAGGCGGAAGATCAGGAGGGATCATCATTTCAACTTTAAAAGTATCATCCATCCTAGCTTGACTGCCATAAACACCAATGACGTCGCCAGTTACAAGTGAATGTTTGTTGATATTTCCAATGAGTTTTATCAACTAAAAGGATTATATTAGAAGAGGTTAAGTATAAAAATATACATCTAAAACGGGGCTGCACGGAATTGAAAAAAAGATTCCGAAACTCGTTTTCGCAACAGCAAAAAACCCCCGCAATTTACGCTCACGCAATCAGCAATTGCGTGCAGCCCTGATCTAAAAACTGAAAAATCCAAACCTGTTGATTATTCTCAAGTTCAAGCAAATCGCTTTCGTCCACCAAATTATCATCATCTTTCTTTGTGTATTTAAGCTTTAAATTAGAATCATCAGCAAATTCATAAAGTACACTTTGACGGAATTTCATTTTCTTAAAAACAATTCCAACAAGAAAAACATCGTTATTCTCTTTTTGATAGTCAATTGTTGTGCTTGTTAAATTTTCATTTCCTTAATTTAAAAAATTAAAATAGAACTAAAATATTTTTTAACTGAGAATCTTCCTTGCATTTTTAATTATCCTTTCTCTTAATTGTTCCACTCTTGCTCTGTAAATGTAAAAAAATTGTCGACTATGGAATTTGTTGCAATCTTCCTTTCCAAGCCTATAGCGATTTGATTCATTTTTATAAATTAAGTTGAATTTTCCTTCATTCATTTAAACAAATTTACTTTTAAAAATAAAAATATATGTATAAAAATTAAGACTCAAAAAACTCAAAAATTCAAAAGATTAAGTGTGTGACAAATCATTTTTCAAGGTTTAGAGACTGGATTTTGGATTACACGCTCATGCCGGACCCGATCCTGCCGGACTTTTCAAAAAAAATTTTTTTTTAATTTTTTGAATTAAAATTTTAAAAATAAATTCAGAAAGCCAAGAAATCAACGGAGCGCCGGTAGGGGACCATTGTGTACCGCCGTTTGTGTACGGCCGGTTGTGTACCGCCAGTTGTGTACTTGGCCGTTTGTGTACCTGGCCAGTTGTGTACCGCATTATATAGGAATATAATAGGGGAATATAGATTATATTCCCCAACTTAGAATCTTATTAGAAAATTCGAAATGCAAATTCGACCAAAATTGCCATGATTTAACAAATTTGGACAAAGTTACGATTCAAAAATAAACCAATAAACCTATGGGCGTCGGCGAGACGCTTGTGCAAAAGCCCGCGCTTCGCGCGGGCTTTTGCGGCACGCGTCTCGCGGGAGTCAACGGTCGCTGGGTTCCGTACCAGTAACATAAACCTATTCCTTTTATCGATTTTTTGAGTTGAAATGCCGACCTATTCTTCGTAGCAACACAAAAAGTTCTTTAAGTGATAATACGGCCTAAATTCCCCTGATAAAGTAACCTTGGGTCTAATAAGATTCTGAATTGGGTGATATAGTCTATATTCCCTTACTATCTTACCAGCAATACTTTCGTTCTGGGATATATAAAGACAAAAATTCTTAAAAATGCGGGTACACAAACGTCCCCATTTGGGTAGGTACACAACCGGCCGTACACAACCGGCCAGGTACACAAACGGCAAGGTACACAACCGGCGGTACACAACTGGCCGTACACAAACGGCGGTACACAAACGGCCGTACTCAATGATCGCGTTCCGACGGAGCGCCCAACTGAGCCCCGCTGATTGAGTCCTAGAGCCATATTTTGGTCCATAACTTTTTCATTTCTTAATCGATTTTGATAATTAATATATCAGTCGAAAGCTCTTGACTTAAGGATTATTTTATCTAGAAGGATCAGATTCTGATCAGATAAACCTACAAAAAGTTACAGCCTAGTAAAGATCAAAAATCACGATTGCGTGCACTTATCTAGATTTAACTTTTTGTAGGTTGATCTGATTAAATCAATCTAGTTGGTGAAAATTATCCTTACATCCAGTGCTTTCGAAAGATAAAAGTTTTATTCGAATTGGTTGAAAATACAAAAAGTTATGGCCCAAAATATGGCTCCGGGACTTAATCAGCGGGACTCAGTCGTCCCCGGCGAAGAAATCCGGTAAAGTCCGTTTTAAAGTAGCCGATTCAGAGTAGCCAGTTCATGCCAAAAGGGGACGTTTCAGAGCACGTAGTATAGATTACGATTACCTTGATCTCATAATCATTGTCTGAAATCGTCGCGTTCGTGCGCATAAAATTTGATTTGATATTTCTCTGTACATTCGTCTATATGTAACATCATTTCGCATTTTACACAGTATTGTCACGTGAGCACAAACAAATAAGATTTATTTTGACTACCTTTAAGTAAAACATGAGGAAACCCAGTACTTTGTGTTCTTGAGCAATATTTTAAACATAAATCAGTGAATTGAAACATTTAAAAAATTATTCTCTTTTTAAATATACAATCTTTAAAATATTTTTATCAAGGCACTATTTTAATTTTAATAAAATATTTTTTAGATAAAGACTTTTTTATATTAATGTCTTCAACACTTTTAAAAGTAGCAATTATTGGAGAGGGAGTTATAGGAGTGAGTACAGCTTTGGCTATACGTCAAGCATTACCTAAAGCTGTGGTATGAATATCTGAATATTTTAGATAAAATTAAAAATTAATTTAAAGATAAAAATATTTTCTGATCGTCCATTTGAAGACACAACAAGCTTTGGACCTGCTGGAATTTTTCGTTTTAACGAGGACCGTTATAAATCGTGGGCAGAAAAAACTTTTAATTTTTGGGCAAAATTAGAAAGAGAAGAATCGCCATTAAATACTGGAGGTAAATATTTTTAAGAAATTTTTAAAATAAAAATTTTTTCCCTTTTTGTTCATCTTGTGAGTGGACATATTCAATCGGAAAGTAAAGAATCTCTCGAAAAACTTGTAATTAACTGTTAAGAAATAAATGTAATTTTATTTTGAAGGAAAAAGCATTTGGTAGTATTGTTTACAATTTTCGATGGCTAACTCAACGTGAACTTTCTTTGATTTGTGCAAAACCGGCAAAGTAAATCTTTTAAATTTTTTAAGGTTGGATAAATTTTTTAAGGTGGATTAACTAGAGGGCACAGGCAGGCCCGTAGCCAGGATTTTTTTTCGGGGGGGGGGGGGGGAAATTTTTTTGCGCCAAATTTTTGGCGCCGAAGGCGCCAAAAATTTTTATTTTCAGCGCCGCAGGCGAAAATTTTTTGAATTTTAGAAGGTCGTAGGCCAAAAAAATTCACTCTTTCGGCGCCGCAGGCGCCAAAATTTTGATTTTCAGCGCCGCAGGCGAAAATTTTTTGGATTTTGGACCTTAAAAAGCCAGATTTCTTCCTTTTTTAGCGCCGCAGGCGAAAATTTTTTAAATTTCAGAGGCCGTAGGCCAAAAAAATTCACTTTTTTGCCCCAGCCCTTCCCCAAATTTTTTCCTTTTTCCCATTTCGGGGGGGGGGGGAATTCCCCCCCTCACCCCCCCCTGGCTACGGGCCTGGGCACAGGCAGGATCCCATACGGGGTTTTACGGGATTCTGTTCCGAAATCCAGTGTTTTACGAGATTAATCCCGCGGGATCCTGCCCCGCAAAAATTTGTGAAAAAATCACGTTACGGAATCCAGGGAATAAGATTTTACCGTCCTCTATTATGTATTAACGTTAATTTAGCGGATATTTGTAAATAGGGTTGTCCTTTTACCCTATTTATAGGTCATTTGTATCTTTGCTTGACTTCACCATATTTTTGCCTATCTTTGCTTGACTTCACCATATTTTTGCCTATCTTTGCTTGACTTCACCATATTTTTGCCATATTTTTGAGTGGTTGCACCCTATTTTAGTGTTTTAGAAAGGACAACCCTGTTTGTAAATTAAAAATATAATTTTATTTTTTTTTAGATTTGGTATTCATTATACAGCATATGCTGCTGAAGGCCGACGTTTTGTGTCCTATTTAAAAAACCAACTTGGCAATACTGTGGAATACAAAACTCAAAAAATTGAATCGATTAAAGAAGTTTGTTTTTCTTTTTTAAATTTAAATTTATTCCTTTAAAAGCTTGCAAATCAAGACTTTTCATTAATTGTAAATTGTGCTGGTTTAGGAGGTGGAAAATTAGCTGGGGATGATGAAAATGTTTTCCCAAATCGTGGAGTTGGAATTGTTGTGAAAGCTCCGGGACAATCACATTTTTGCTATGAAGATGCAGATACTTTTTGTATTCCAGTGTAAAAATACTGGGCTTTACTGCAGTTTATGAGTCCAATAAAAAGTTGCGCCTCGCCGACGACCGTAGGTTTACGCTGACCATTTTGAGCCTTTTATCACGACCCAGAATGAGTCAAGCTGAGAATACATGTTTCGTATGAAATAGTTGATAAAAAGAAATAATTCTTAGTCGATATAAAAAGGCTCTAAATGGTCAACGTAAACCCATTGGACTCATAAAGTGTGATTGGATTCATAAACTTTTCATTGAACTCATAAACTGCAGTAGAGCCAAATACTGAATATTTATTTTATTTTTTCTTCCTTTTTTAGTGTTGGTGATGACCGCGTTTTGTTAGGTACTTTACGTCAAGATAATCGTTGGGATAGAGAAATTAGTAGAGAAGATATAAATGATATTTGGACAAGAGTAACAGAATTAAAGCCTTCACTTAAACATTCAGAGGTTGTAAGTGAATGGTGTGGATTACGTCCAGATCGTAAGGGAGGCGTTAGACTGGAACATAAATTGCTAGAAGATGACAAAACAAATAAACAGATTCATGTATTTTTTAAAGAATTAATTTAATAAGGTAATTCAATTTTAAAAAAGGTAATTCATAATTATGGACATGGCGCAAAAGGATTTTTATTGAGTTGGGGATGTGCAAGAGAAGTATTGGAATTAATAAAGAATAATGGAATCTGTGAATAAATTAATAATTTAGTTAAAAATAAATATTTTTACAAACTATATTAAATTCTAAAAGTTAATAAAATCGTTTAGAATATTTCGGAACATCTTTTATCATTAATTTGATTCTTTCTTTCGAAAAAGTTACTTAAATACTTTTTATTAATTTAAGAATTTTTCCTATATTAATAAGAGAAATAGTATGTAAATCATTGGAAAATTAAAGAATTATTTTCTAAATCTGACAATGAAATTTAAACTAGGGTTTATTCAGACAGGATCGAGGTTCGTTTGACCCAAGACTTGCCCTACCTGTATATGCCTCATCAGTTGGGTCCTCATTTAGTACTCAAACGATCCGGACACAACCTTAGGACTCAACTGGGCTGATCCGTAAGTGATAAAAAATTTTGGATCGAAATTCCCGGAAAATTATCAATTCTCGTGTTCGAGTATCGAGATTCCCGACCCAAAAAACGGTGGGAATTAACAGTTTTCGTGAAGGATCCCTGATAGAGATTTAGCAAATTTTTCATTTTTCCTGATAACCCCTCGGAGTTAAAAAGTCAAATATTCATTACGCTAACAAATTCTTTGAATTTCTAAAAACAAACGACTCATCTTTTATGCAAGCACACCATCAGAAAATAAATGATTTGATTTTTTACCTGTTTGTAAAATTGTTTTAAAAACACTTTATAATATTTTATTTATTTCAGCAAGGCTTTTTACTATTTCTAAATATTTAACTTTATTTTTCAAAATGCCTCTTCCGAAACATAAAGCTGCTGACGCAAAAAAGGTTGAAACTGAAAGACTTCAAGGTTATTTTTCTTATATTAATAAATATATTCCCAAATTTTTTTAGGTTTTCTCCAGGAGTTGCTTCGCGAAGAAGAAAACAAATATTGTGCCGATTGTGAACAAAAACAGCCTCGATGGGCTTCTTGGAATCTTGGTGTATTTTTGTGCATTCGTTGTGCTGGATTACACAGAAATTTGGGTGTTCACATTTCGAAGGTTTAAATAAACCTACAATTAGTTGGAAAATGAAATTTCACAATTTAAAGGTTAAATCTGTGACTTTAGATTCTTGGACATCTGAACAGGTTCAGAGTATGCGAGTAAGTTTTCATGTATTTGGTTCTAATTGACTTTATGAGTCCAATCAAAAAATTATTGGATTTTTCTTGGTATTGCAAGGTAGGGGTTTGGGCCAAAACATTTCATGTTTGGGACCTACGATTTCTGGGTCTGGGACCGTTCCTTACCCTATCACTCGAAATTTCGGGAAGTTATAATTGTTTTTCTAAAATTTTTAAGGAACGGTCCCAGACACAGTGGGCGTAGGTCCCGAACATGAAGAAATGTTTTGAACCCATACCCCTTTTTTGCAATACCAAGAAAAATCGAATTATTTTCTGATTGGACTCATAAAGTCAAGTAGAACCAAATATTCTTTCTTATTACACGTTTAAGGTTATGGGAAATGCAAAAGCTCGTGCTGTATACGAAAATGAATTGCCTCCGCTATTTCGACGTCCTCAGACTGATCAATCTCTGGAGCAATTCATTCGAGCAAAATATGAGGCAAAAAGGTATGCATGTTTAATTCTGTAAAATGTGAGCCGAAAATCTTCGGTTTGTTTGGCAACAGCTAAAATATTAATTTTTTTCTTCACATTTCAGATACATAATGAAAGGATGGATCCATCCACCTGTCGATATTGCCGATCTACCTACATATCCAGGATCAATGATTCGCGACAAAAAAGTTGTTGCAACTTTTTCGACTGTTCCAAAAAGTTTTTTTTATTCTTAAATTTAAATTAAAATATTAATTTAAGGTACTTCAACAACATCCAAACAATCAAGTCAAGATTCTAATTCTCAATCAGACCATGTTCAGACTGAAATTCCGCAATTAATTGATTTTGTTTCTTCGCCAAAGAGTGGACATTTTTCTTTGAATCAAACAGGGATGAAGAGAGGTTTTTTATTTTTATCATTTCTTCTTAAAAATATTCTAGAGTCCTCTTGTTAAATTATAATAAATTACCTATAGACATATTTTTTAATTTTCCTCAATTTTTGAAATTTCATGCTTTATTAACTATTAATTTAAGATTCCAACAGTATTGACGATTTGTTTGGTCCAATCGTTTCGGCAGCTCCAAATATTCAAAATCAACAACAAAGTCAATTGTTTGCTCCTCAGCCTCCTAATTTACCGTTTTCTCAATCCTCTCCAAATTTTAATAACGCCAACAATGATATGTTTTCTAGAGTATTTTCTGGAACGGAACAAGTAAATGTTGGAACTGAACAGAGAAGGTTTTTTTCTAAATTTTATTAACAATTTTATATTTTTTTGTTTGTAGGACTAGCAGTCCCGACTTTAATAAAATTCCAAATAATTCTTTGAATGCTGTAAATTCTCAAATCGAATCACAAAATTCTATTGGATTGGATTTACAAGGAATAGACTTTAATCTTTGCTCAATTGCTGGCACTGAAAATCAGGGTAAATAAATTATTTTATTCACCATCCTCGTTTAAAATTTTTTTTATTCTAGTCACCTCTCAAGCGAGTGCAACAGATTCTACAACGTTTTCGTCTATTCCTCCTGCTTCTGGTAATTTAAAATTAATTTTCTTTAAAATAGTTTGATTTTTTAGATGCAAAGAAATCAACAAGTGAAATATTGGCTCTTTTCAATAAATAAATGTGAATGCGGAAACGAAGAGGAAAATCTATGCAAAAGTAAAAATATTGTTTGCCGGTGAATAAGTTGTGTGTTTAAGACCATTCTGTGTGAAATCAGGACTTGAGGGGACCTTAATATGGATTTTATTTGGATGGTTTAAGTGCAATTTTTCCTCTTGCTTCTCTAATTAGTGAAATTTTATACTATGTTTCAAACAGAAACATGGTACATATAACTTTAAAAAATAGTTACCACCAGGCCCGTAGCCAGGGGGGGGGGGTTTGGCTCTTCGTTTGGCTGACTTCAGCATAGGTCCACCGAGTTCGAGACTCGAATTATATATCATTCGATTCCTCTCGCTGAAGAGTTCAAATATATAAGAATTTCTTGCGGAAGACGAAATCGAAGAGATATAGGCCCCTGAAAATCGAAAAACCAAAGTGGTGACCAAGCTGTTTTGTCTGCGGAAAATTTTTTGCCCCTGCGGAGGAAGCCGGGCATGTCGAGAGATTCTGGTTGCCAGGTTATGTATAATTTCATTGTCAACAAAACTATAAAACAGCTGGGAGAATTTCTTTGGGTGGAGGTTTTTGCTTAAAATTTAAAAAAAACTTTTTTTGCTTATTTTTAGGATTTCTTCACTCCTGATGTGAACTCCTGATCGAAATAAAGTAACCGGGGAATACACGACATCATTCTTCACATCAGGAGTGAAGAAATCCTAAAAATAAGCAAAAAAAGTTTTTTATAAATTTTAAGCAAAAACCTCCACCCAAAGAAATTCTCCAAGCGGTTTTATAGTTTTGTTGACAATGAAATTATACATAGCCTGGCAACCAGAATCTCTCGACATGCCCGGTTTCCTCCGCAGGGGCAAAAACTTTTTCCGCAGACAAAATAGCTTGGTCACCACTTTGGTTTTTCGATTTTTAGGGGCCTATATCTCTGCGAGTTTTTGTCTTACATATTTGTTTTCGTCTTATATATTTTTCGTCTTACAATTCTTACATATTTGAACTCAGTTCAGCGAGAGGAATCGAATGATATATAATTCGAGTTTCGATCTCGGTGGAGCTATACTAAAGCACATATTTCAAAAATTTCCTTGATGTTTTAAATTTGGGATAGGGCCAAACTCTTACTTTAATTCAATTAAAGTTGGTTTTCGTTCTGATTTCAAAAATGTGAATTGTATTGTTATTCTTTGTTTTCGCCGATTCGTTATAATTGGTAACGCATTTTTTGTTTCTTTCCTGACATCTATTAAAAGCCTCATGGTTATTTTAGATATACTAATTTGAAAAAAATAAACTTTCTAGACAAACAATTATTTGTCCTATCTTAAATATATGCGTTGTGATTTGTATTTTATTTTCGTTGTGTTAATCCCCTAATTCCATTACTCACATTCTGTCTTCTTGTTATACAAAAACTTCTCTTTTATGTAATTAACAGATATATTATACCTAAATTGTTCTTTTATATATGAGAGATTAATTGGATAAAAATTAATTTTGCTCAAAGTTTTTGAAATTTTTAAAATTTTATTATTTTTTACCCTTCAAATATTTTTAAAATTATTAAAAAGTCTTCTTTAAATATTTTTAATCTTTTCTTTTAGTTTTATGGCTTCTTTAACTTTCGTTACCTCGGAAACAAATGGATCTAATTTATAAGGGATAGCTTCTTCCTTTTTCCTTCCCTCAAATACGTTGGAATATTAATTCAAAATATTTTTTGTCCCTCAAAAAATCTTTCAATGGAACAACAAAAACCAATAACAAATTTATTTGATGCATTGAAACAAATATTTGTTGACCCTAAATTACTTTCTCTTTATGGGATTACTTTTATTGTTGCCCTTATTTTGCCATTTGGTATGAGTTTTGTTTTGAGGAAATGGAATGATTACAAACGGTTGGTCCTAGAATATTTGTTAAAATTAGGGTTTCAATAAGCACTCGATTTTCAATAATCAAATTTTGTGATAAGAATAGTCAAGGAGTTCATTCAAGCATTTGTTAATATTATAGATAGGGAACCATAGCTAAAAAATTTTAAAAATATCCCTAATTTGTTTTGAGGAAATGGAATGATGTTTTTAAATTTTACCTCTACTAGTCATCAAAATTAATTTTTTTTTGTCAAGTGTTCGGTTTCTTAGACAAAAATGATTAACGGATTTAATGAAGCTAAATAAAAACCTACGATAGAAAATAAAATTAATACACTTATATTCTAATTTACACTAATTTTTATTCTCACAAAAATGTTAAAATTCTTTTAGGGAATTAAAATTATCTTTAAATTTTATCTAGAAAATTCTAATAATTTTCTGTTTTTTTATTTAGAGCGAAATTAATCAAAAACTCAAAATTACCTCCCAAGATTGATGGTAAATTTAACATGATTTTAATTTATTAAATTTATTTTTAGAAGACGATGAAACTGTTAAATTGCCAGATGGAATGACTGGATTTTTTAACAAATCCTTGATGGAATCCTTTCGACAAAATGCTAAAAATTCGGGAATATTACGAGATGTAAAGAAATTAGTTGAAAAATTAATTTATTTAATTTTTAAAAGGAAAATTGTCCATTTATTTCGAGAGATGATTTAGTCGTTATTAAAGAGGAGGATTTGGGGGAAAATAAAAAGAATGGAGTAAATGAAGCTTCTAAAAATTTAAAAAGTGAAGAAGAAAAAGATGAAGAAAAAGAAGAAGAAACTATTAATTATTGTGAAGGAAAAGATGATGAGAAAATGCCTTTATTGGAAGGAATTAAGAATCCTCCAAATAAAAAAGTTTTCGAAAAAATTTCTTAAAATATTTTTAAAAATTAATTTATTAGGAGAAAAAGAAACGTAAACAATTTAAAGATCCCGATCCAGGTTGGAAGGGGTTTTTTAGAAGAAAGTTTATCAAAATTATTTTAAGAAACAGCACAAGCATTAAATAAATTAGTCGAGAATGGATTACATGGAAAACTTGCAACAGCCCAACTTCGAGTTAAAACTCAAATGCTCGAACAGAGTATGTCTGAAGAGGAACGAATAAAGGTATTTAAATAACCCTCATATATAGAGCTTACGGTTCTGGACCGAACCGATGATTTTTCGGTTCGGTTCTTCATTTCGATTCCGGGTATCCGAAGATTTTCCAAGAACCGACAACCCTACTCATATATTTAAAGGCTCTAACATAACAATTTAAATAACCTCAAAAATATGTCCAAATCTTTTTTTTTTCTTAATTTAAAGGAACAAGAAATTCGCCAAAAACAATTGGCCGAAATTTTTCAAATGATGGAGGCACAGAAAGAAAAATTTGGAATTGAGGCAAAAGAGGAAGTGGTAAAGATTGATGTTTTTTTAATTTTAAAAATATTTTTATCTTTAGGTTGAACAAATGAAATTATATTCTCTATGATTTTTGTATATTTTTTGTCAATCTCTGCAGCAATTACTATATTTGTTTTTTTTTAATTTTTACCTCTACTAGTCATAAAAATGAATTTTTTAATAGTCATTTTAAAATAATAAAATTATTTAAAATTTTCTATACATTCTTAATATTTAATAGTAATTGATAAAAACTAAGTAAAGGCATAAATATATTTTCATTTTGTACTATTTTATATTTGGATAGGTATTGAAGTATTCTTAGACATTTTGAGGAGTTGAGATTGAATTTTTCCAATCTGAATAAAAACTTCATAACCTTTTTTTCCAACACATTATTTGGCTTATGGCAGTTTTTTGGGACGGGAATTTTCTTAAACCTGTCCTAAGTTAATTTGAAGTTATTTTTAAAAAATTCCAAAATCCTTTTGAAGTCAAACGATTTTCGCTTCAATTTCCATATGATTTTGTTTTTTATAGTTAATTTTTTTCTGTTAAAATATTGACTGATTAATTATTTTTAATCAAGTTTTTTTCGCTTTAAGCATGTGAGAAAAATTTTTTTTAATTTTACTACATAAACTAAAAAAATAAAATATTGTGTAATAAATACTCTCTAAAATTATTTTAAATATTATTTTGCTAAATTAATTAATGTTTCCTTTGCTTTTACTTTGTTTTTATTTTTGTAATTTTTATTTTCTTCAAGGACAAAATTGAACCCTAAACAATTAATTGAAAAACTAGTTCTAATTAATTTTTTTAAGGTTGGATAATATAAATTTTTATAATTGGAACACAAAACAAATTATTAATAACTTAAATATTTTTAAAATTGATTGTCTATTTGAAGTTAAATTTCTGAAATTCTGGTTGGCGAAATTATAACCTACTTAGTTAACTATTTTGCAGTAAAGAAATTATTCTAAGAATATTTAAACTTATTTAAAGCATATTTAATTCCTAAGGCTGTGCAGTAGGCGGCGTGGTGTAATAGCTAACATATCAGTCCGGTGTACTGAAGATGCTGGTTCGCTCCCAGCCCCGATTAACCTTTTGCACTAGCTGAGGAGAGAAATAGCTATGGCCTAGCTGCTTACTTTAAAGCTAAGAGTTTTGTCTTTTTTTAAATCCAAAATATTAATATCCCCAAACTCTCTCTTCTTATCTAAAATTTAAAATTTTATTTCCTTTAAAAATTATTAGTTAAAAATTACTAATATCTTTTTATTTTTTAACTTATTTAACTTAATTTCTGATTTAATTTAAAAATTAATTAAAATTATTACAACAAATTTAATTGAATTTAATAAATTAATTTAATTTAAATTATTAAATTAAAAATGATAGATCGCTATATAATCAAAGACAATTTTTGATGGCGTAATCACCTTTGCACTCACATTAATTCAATAGAAAAACGAGGGGGGAATGTTTAATGAATTGGAAAGAAAAAAAAGAAATCATTCAGTAGACAATCAAAAAAATTTAATAAATAAATATAAAAAGAGAATTGAAAATTGGGGGTATTTTCTTTTAATTAATTTTTGGATTTTTATATTTAAAAATTTAATAATTATTTTTATCCTAAATTTTTACAAAAATTTTATTTTTT